ATTTCATACCCGTTCCCCCCATCCCCCTGCCCTCCCCTCCCTCCCTGTTCCTTCGCCCCTCCCCCACCTGGCCCCACATCTGGGACCCTGAAGCTCGGCGCAAACCCTGGGCCTCCTCAGCGAGTCCTCTCTGCCTCTCTGCTCATCCTGCAGTTTCCTGTTTGTTTTGTCCCCAAAGTCCAGGCTTTTAGCTGGTCCTGACGGGTGGCCGCGTCAAAGGACATCTGCCCCACCTTCCTGGGACGCGGCCTCGGCTGCGCGCCCACGCGGCCGCCCCTCCCCGCCCGCCCGCCGGGCTCCTGCGCCCCAAGCGTCCAGGCTGCGGTGCTCTTTTCCCTCCGGGCTCACCTGGTCACCCCACGGCGGGGCAGAGGGTTGAGTGGGAAGGGCAGCGTCTGCGCTCGGCCTCCCCATCTGTCCAATGAGGGGGCGTCACCTGAAGCCCCTAGGACCCTTCCCCGCTCAGAACCTCTTCGTCTCTGAAAAACTGCCCAAATCCAGTTGGTCCCGCAAGAGCCTTCCTGTTAGTGTGGCTTCCTGAGCGCTGTTCCGGCCTCTGTCACACGGTGGCGCCAGAGGCCGCGCTCTAATACCGTGGGCAGCGCAGCCAGATGCGGGGCACTCTGAAATTCAAAGACCTCATCTGCCAGCAGGGAGATAAACCATCTTGTAAGTTTTTCTCATGATTACCTGCTAACACAGCATGTGAGGCATGCATTTCACTTGTTTTTATTACCTATTTATTTAGGCTTTTTGAGACATGGTCCTGCTGTGTATTCCAGGCTGGCCTTGAACCATAGTTCTGCCTGAGCAGTTCTGCCTCAGCCTCCCAGGGGCTGGGATTATAGGCATACACCACTACACCCAGCTTTTTTTGTTGTTGTTGTTTTGTCTCTTTGAGACAGGGTCTCGCTGTGCAGTTCAGAGTGGCCTGGAGCTCACCCAGGCTGGTCTCAAACTCACAATGATCCTTCTGCCTCAGCCTCCCAAGTGCTGGGATTACAGGTGTGTGCCACCACACCCAGCTCTCATACCCAGCTTTTATACCCTTTTAAATGTTGCCCTGTGGTTTTAGTTTTTTTGTTTTTTTTCCGGTACCGGGAATTGAACTCACGACCTTGAGCTTGCCAGGCAGGCGCTGTGCCGCTGAGCTAAATCCCCAGCCCCTGCCCTGTGCTTTTAAACTGGCGTCCATGGTTCTCATCACATTTTTTCTGGAAAGCGCCACTTGCCAGGTTCCCGAGCTTGGCTGGGGCTCCCTGGCTGGTTTCCGCCGCTCCTGGATGGTCCCAGGACTGCAGTTTGCCAGCAGTAAATAAAGTGGGAAGTGACTTTTGCTCCCAGTTCTTCTTGCAGCAAAGCCACCTGCTACAAGCTGCCGCTGTCTCCCGGGATGTCGCAGGTCCAGGGGGCTGGCTGTGTCACTCCATTCTATAGATCAGGCGGGGGGGGGGCGGCAAGCACACAGAGCAAGGAACAGCCAGGCTGGGTTTCAAACGCCACGCCCCACTCTCCTCGCCCGGCAGGCACCTGGAGGTTTGGAAGGCAGCACGGTCCCCTGCCCAGCCTGCTGAAGGTGACACTGGGTCATGTCTAAGTGAGGGGACAGGTCACACTGTGTGACAGCACGTTCTCCACACGCTGCTGCCCCAGGCGCCGGTGTGGTGATTTCTTGCTGTAATCCTTGCCTGGCTGGGCGCGGCTGGGCCTCTTGGCAGAGGCGGAGGGCAAACCTGGGTGTGGTGGGCATCAAGTGTCTACACTGTGCTCCCACCCAGTGCCCCTCAGGACCCTTTCTTTGGGTTGTGAGTCACAAAATCTCCAGTTTTGGCGCAAACATACCAGAAGGTCTGGAGAGAACTCTGATGGCTTCAGGTACGGCTGGACCCAGGGACTCCATCCTTCCCATTTCTTGTTTCTGCTGCCATCTACGTTGTTAGTCTGTGAGGTGCCCTGTGACGATCCGACTGGCCTGGTGCCGGTGCCTCCGTCCCTGAGGGGCGCAGCTTGGAGGGTTAGGCAGCCCGGCTCCCTGGCAACTCCTGGAAAGCGGTCTGGGTCAGACTCAGCTGGTGCTGGTGAGAAGTCTATTCCTGGAGACTTTGCTCTTTAGGATCCATCCTGAAGCCATTGCTGTCCCCACCTCAGGCACGGCCGAGAAGGACACGATGTGTGACCGGCCTTCCCCGGGGACCAGCCTGGACTGCGGCAGCCCGGAGGCCTGCAGGACACCCGCCAGGTGATGTCCCCCCAGGTGATGTTGGGAGGAGGCCGTCCCAGCCCCCACGGTGCCTGGGTGCAGCTGGGCTGGGTGCAGGTAGGGGTCAGTCCAGGCATTGGGACCCCAGGGGGCCTCTCCGCCACGCCCACAGGTCCCTGCCCTCCACAGTGCCCAGCCTTGCCCCCTGCACAGGGACACCCAGAACCCCAAGAGCACAGCCCTTCCTCCTGGAAGGGGCTTGAGTAGGGGCCTGAGGCAGGGGTCTGAGAGTCCTTTATCTGTCTTGGTTTTTTTTTGGTGGAACTGGTATGTAAATCCAGGACATCACACTCAGCTACATGCCCAGCCATTAAATAAAAGGTTTATTTTTTTTTTTAAAGTTTTGAGACAAGCTCTCACTAAGTTGCCAAGGGTGGGTTTGAACTTGCCATCCTCCTGCCTCAGCCTCCCAGAGTGCTGGGATTACAGGTGTAAGCCACCAACCCTGGCTAAGGGCACTTCTTCTCTGCAGACACCGTTACCCCTGACCACAACCTCCCTGCTGTGTCAGGAAAGTCACCAGACCCATGTCTGACTTCTTCTCCAGCAGTGCCACCCGCCAGGCCGAGCCAACTACAGCGTCCCCTGCCACTGCCGATGCCAGGACCCTGCCCCTGGGAGAGAGCACCACGCTCAGGCTGGAAGATGCCCCTCGACTGCGGCCAGCAGGGGTTTCTGCGTCTCCCTTCTCTGTGGCAGAGGCAGGCCCAGGCCCAGGTGACCTCCTGTGGGGCTGTGTAGCGTCTACCTCAGCAGCAGTGCCCCGTGGGTGGGCAGCCAGTGTCCTGGGTATTGGGCTCTTGATTTGCTTTCTTTTTATTAAGACAGCTGAGGACTCTGGGTGTGCGCCTCTGTCCTGCAGCTGCATTCCTGGCCTCTGGAGCGGGTCGCTCTTCGTGCCATGCTGCCTGCCGCCCAGAGACGTGGCCTTAGCTGCACCCCGACCTCAGACCCTCCCTCTGCCCAGCGCTGTCTGCGCTCTGCACCTCGAGTCTCTTTCTCTGTCGGAGCATCAAAAGCATTGTTCAGTTATTTCCTAGGACCTTTGTTGCTTTTCTGTTCATGTTTAGATCTGCTGTCCTCATTAAATTTTAGGCAATGGTCTTCTTTTCTTTTCTTTTTTTGGCTAGATCTTTCTCACTGAGATACAACCGAGCAGCCTCCTTTTTATAAATTTTTAAAAAAATTTTATTTATTTATTTAGTATTCTTTTGAGACAGAGCTTCACTATGTAGTAGCTCAGGCTGGCCTTAAACTCAAAACAGTTCCCCTGCCTCAGCCTCCCAAGTGCTGGGATTTCAGGCATGTGTCACCAGGACTGGCTTTAAATTTTTAGTTTGAGATGGGGTTTTGCTAAGTCCCTAAGTTTCTGAGGCTGGGCTTGAACTTGTGGTCCTCCTGCCTCAGCCTCCCAGAGTGCTGGGATTATAGTGGTCATATTTCAAAATGGTTTGCATGGGTATCCAGTTGACTCGTAGGTTATCATTTCCCCAGTGCTCTCTGGGGCTTTATTGAAGATCAAGGGTCCCTATGTTTATGGAGGCGATTCTGAACTCTATCCTGTCCTGTGTGAATACTGTGTCACCTTTGTATCTGTTGGCTTTAAATAGATGCGACAGAAAACCAAGCGTCTCCTCCAACTCCGAAGGCCGCAGAGTACAGGCTGTTCTTGTAATTTGCGTTTCCATGGATATGTGATACATTTTTTTCTCTTTGGTACCAGAAATCGAACTCAGGACCTTGCGCTTGCCGTGGAAATTTGACAGTCAGCTTCTCAGATCCCTCGAGTGCCCCATTGGGGTTCTGACTGGGGCTGCCCCATCTCTGGGTTTGGGGAGGGGCCGCCCTGGTTGTCCTGAGTCTTTCTGGGCGCTGTAGCTCCCAGGTCTTTCCCAGCTCTCCGTGACGAGCTGTGGTCCGCGGGTAGAGCTTTACATCCCTGGCTCAGATTTCTAGGTGTCTAAAGTTTCTGATGGTGACATACATGGAATCTTTTTCAGCATTTCATACCCTTGCTCTTCGTTGCTGGTGTGGCTTTTGTTTGTTTGTTTGTTTTGTTCTTTAGAGACAGGGTCTTGGTATGTAGTTCTTACTATGTAGCCCAGGCTGGCCTTGAGCTCCCGTTGATCCTCCTGCCTCAGCCTCCTGAGTGCTAGGATTACAGGTACGAACCACGGCCAGACAATATGGTTTACAATCATTAGAAATTGCCCATGTTCGACCAATTTTTGACTTGCAATGTAGTAAACAGCAGAAACACTGAAACGACACAGGATTTGGAGGCAGATTTATTTTACATCGACGGGCACTGATCGGGATCATTCCCGGAATATCAGGCCCAAGGGGCTGGGGATTTAGCTCAGCAGCACAGCGCCTGCTTGGCAAGGGTGAGGTCGTGAGTTCGATTCCTGGTACTGGGGAAAAAGCAAACAAAAAAACAAACAGAATATCAGGCCCTGATCTCTGGTGGGGTAGGACTTATATGGGACAAGCAAGCAGGAAGTACAGAGGCAGAATGGCTTGTCAGTTGGGGATTGGCTTATACAGTGTGCGTAGCAGAGACCAGCTCTTTCTAAGAGACAGAAGCAACCGGAACTGGAGCAGGAACTATTTATTACCTGGGCAGCTAAGAAACTGAAGAATACTGGCCGAGGGTGGTATTTTCTGCTACAGCAAAACTAGGGATTTCGTGTGGTCCAACTTAATGCAGAGAAAGGCACCGGATTTCTGTATAGCCGCTGCCCGGGTCTGCAGCCCGGAAATGACCTGGTTATGGCTACCAGGGACGGAAGGCACGGCAGGCCGGCCGGCAGGGGGCGCTGTTCTCCCTGTGGCCTTGGGCCTCAGCCCTCCGGAGCTTCAGCTTGCTGCTCTGCCTCCGTCCCCAGGGCTGCCCGCTTCGCAGCAGTGTCTGCCGGGGTCCGCTAACTGCAGCTGGGAGCCGTGCGGCCCTGAGCACTACCTGGCCGTGGATGGCCACTGCACGCCCTGCGTGAGCTGTGAGGGAGGTGAGCTCTGGGCTGGGGACCTGGATCTGGGAGGCCGGCTTTGGTTTTAGCTGCTC